GGCCCTCTCTCTTTTTCTCTTCATGAGTTGGGCTAAAGGTTTATCAATTTTGTTTATCTTTTCAAAGAACCAGCTCTTAGTTTCACTGATTTTTCTGATTGTTTTTTAAAGTCTCTATTTCATTTATTTCTGCTCTGATCGTTATGATTTCTGTCCTACTAACTTTGAGTTTCGTTTGTTCTGCTTTCTCTACTTAGGGTTAGGCTTTAGGTGTACAGTTAGGTTGTTTATTTGAGATTTTTCTTGTTTCCTGAGGTAAGCTTGTAGTGCTATAAACTTCCTTCTCGTAACTGCTTTTGCGGCATCCCACAGATTTTGCATTATCTGCTTTTCATTTTCATTTGTGTCCAGGTATTCTTTTAATTTCCTCTTTGATTTCTTCAGTGACCCATTGGTTGCGCACTAGCATATTGTTTAGCCTCCACACGCTTGTGTTTCTTGCAGTTTTTTTCTTGTAGTTGATTTTTAGTCTCATAGCATTGTGATCATAAGAGATGCCTGATATGATTTCAATTTTCTTAAATTTACTGAGACTTGTTTTGTGGCCTAGCATGTGATCTGTCCTGGAGAATGTTTCGTGTATACTTGAAAAGAATGTGTATTTGCTGTTTGGGGAAGGAATGTTCCAGATAGATCAATTAAGTTCATTTGGTCGAATGTGTCATTTAAGGCCAGTGTTTCCTTATTGATTTTCTGTCTGGACGATCTGTCCATTGATGTAAGTGGCCTGGGAGTCCTGGAGTAGGAGTATCAGCCCACTGGTGGGCAGGGCCAGGGTCCAGGGGGTCCTGGGGCTGCTGCTGGGCAGTGGTGAGCGGCCCTCGGGTGGACAGCGTGAGGTCCTGGGGCGGCTGTGGGCTCAGGGAGTCTTAAGGCAGCCAGCCTACTGGCAGGTGGGGCTGTGCCCCTGCCCAGCTCACTGCTTGGCCTGAGGCATCCCCATACTGGTGCCTACAGGCTGGTATGCAGGGCAGGTCCTGGCACTAATAAGCCAGAGGGAGGATTCTGAAATGGCACTTGCAGCACCAGTGTCCTTGTGTTAGAGCAAGCTGCCCCCAAAATAGCTGCCACCAGTGTCTGTGTCCCCAGGATGAGCTGCCCTGGCCCGCAGCATCTCCAGGAGGCTCCCCAAGATCAGCAGGTGGGTCTGACCCAGGCTCCTCTCAATTTCCTGCTTTTGTCCTGGGCCCTGAGCACGTGAGATTTTGTGTACTTTAAGAGCGGCGTCTCTATTTCATACGGCCCTCTGGCTCCCCTGGAAGGAAGCCCCACTCACCTTCAGAGCCAGATGTTCTTCAGGCTCGACTTCCTGGTGCAGGGCCCCCAGGCTGGGGAACCTGACCTGGGGCTCAGACCCCTGACTCCTTGGGGCGCCCCTGTGCGGTTGTGATTATCCTCCCGTGCACAGCTTACCCACCTGGGGCTTTGGGTCTTGACTGCACCGCAGCTCCGCCCCTCCTGCCCCGCCTGTTGTGAGTCCTCCTGTACATCTTCAGGTGTAGACGGTCTTTTCTTCTAAGCTTCTGGTCTTTCTCGTCGCTAGTTGCTCTGTGAAGAGGGTGATTCTCTCTGTGTCCACGGGAGAAGGTGAGCTCAGGGGTCTTCCTGCTCCCCCGTCATGGCTGCTTTTCTCTATTTGTTATTGATTTGGGCTGATTAATTTGCTCAGAGAATAAGCTTTGTATGATTTTAGTTCTTTGAAATTTGTCGTGTCCTGCTTTGGGGCCGGTAGATAGTTTTTGTAAATATTCTGTGTAATGGTTTAAGGGAGCACTTAAGTTTCCATAGTTGTGTCTGTGGGGTTCAGTTTGTTAATGATGTTGTTTAAATGTGTGTCATTAATGACTTATTTTATCTGGTTTTGTTGTCAGTTCCTGAGAGAGGGGTGTTAAAACCTCCCACTAGAGTTTGTACTTTTGACTCTTTCTCCTTGTTCTGCCCGTCTTTGCTTTGTTTATTTAGTGGCTATGCGTTTGAATACACGTGGATTTACCACTGTTGTATCTTCCTGGTGAGCTGAGCATCTGGTGATGACCTGACCCTCTTACTGCTGTTACTGCTTTTTGCCTCAAGTATGTTTGTCTGTTTCTAGACAACGCCACCAGCTTCCTGTTACAGTTTCTATATACGGTGTCTTTGTCTGACTTTGAAAATGCAGTGCTTCTGTACGTTATTGCTTTAGAATTCTCTTTTAAAGAGTAAAAAGTGGGCTTCCCTGGTGGCACAGTGGTTAAGAATCCTGCCAATGCAGGGGACACGGGTTTGAGCCCTGGTCCGGGAAGATCCCACATGCCGTGGAGAAACTAACCCATGCGCCACAACTACTGAAGTCCACATGCCTAGAGCCCATGCTCCACAACAAGAGAATCCACTGCAATGAGAAGCCTGCGCACCTCAATAAAGAGTGGCCCCTGCTTTCCGCAACTAGAGAAAGCCCACGGGCAGCAACGGAGACCCAGCGCAGCCAAAAATAAAGAAATTTTAAAAAAATAAAATAAATAGTAAAAAGTTAGATTTTTGTTGTTTTTTGTTGGTGGTGGGTTTTTTAATCTAATTTGATAAGATACTTTTCTTTAGCTTGGTCACTTCATCTATTTGTATTCTTGTCTTCACTTAGATTTTGACCTGATAATTTCATAATGTCAATTCTTCAAGACCCTTAAGACAATTAAAATACAATTTTTCCAGCATTTTTGGTTATTTGCACGCTGGCCAGCCAATTCTCAAACAGAAGGTCCACGTGCTTCTTAAGCACATTTTAGCAAATCTCTGTTTGATCCCACTTCACCTGCACGTCAGAGGCGCCCGGCTCCTGACCCCCAGGTTGTGCGATGCCCGCGGGGTCTTGGGGCCCCTCACTGCGCGCCCTTCTGCACGCTGGCTTCTGTTGTGTTCCCACTGTTCTTCTCGCGCCTGCCTCATCCTTGTAGGCTCATGTCCTGAAAACACTGAATCCTGCCACAGTTGTTCTAGTGAGGATTTGAAGGGGATCAGGGACCCCTGTCTGGACCCACCGTCTTTAGCTGGACATTCAGAGCGTGTGTGGTTTGATGTTGTCACTGCAGGTGGAGCTATGTGAAATGTCCCTCCTCTTAGCAGAGTGTCACCCACCGGGGGCGTTGGTTACACTGTGTTTTATACGCAACGTGATGAGCGCATGGAACTCACGAGCCCAGGGCAGGACAGGCTGGACCACTTTGTAAGCATCTTCTGAAAGCCCCGCATCCACCATCCACAGGCTGGTAGACTAAAAGATGTCTTCAGTTGGGAGGAATATTGTTGGTATTTTACAAGATACCTCAAAATTCTGCCTCTCAGGGCTTTAATGCACAAAGGGGTTTTTTGTAGCATTTAAAAAATAAATGGCTGGCATTGATTTATTAATGATTTATCAAGGAAACATTATTAGGCTTTGAAAATATTTTTCAGTGACTTATTCTGGAGCAGTTGCTAAATTCAGCAATGAAAACAAACTGGTCTACAGTTTCAGCACCTCGTCCATAATATCAACAACATCTAATATCAACATCTGTACCAAGTTCTACGCCGGTATCTCCCAATGTTCCCAAAATGATTATCAAACTGTAATGAATATTCTGAAACCCCTTAGGAGTTGTCTCTGGACTCCGTGCCTGCGTTTTATTGAGATAACGTGCACACGCTGTAACGAGCACGCAAATTAAATGTTCACTAGTGTGAGTTTGACACTTGTGTACACCTGTGTAGCCACCACCCAAAACAAGATGCAGACCGTTTCCGTCCTCCCCCCAGTTCCTCGTAGCCCCCCGCCGTCCCCATCCCCTGCCTCTAACCCAGAAGCTGCGTCTCATTTCTATTATCGCCCTTTAGTCCTGCCTGTTCTGGGGCTTCATACGTGCTCTTCTGTGTCTGGCTTCCTGCACTTAACACTGTGTTTCTGAGACTCATCTGTGGTGCTCTGTGCATCAGACTTCGTTCTCTTTATCACTATTATTCCTTTGTATGAATGTGCCAGAATCTGTTTCTCAGAATCCATTCTCATCATGATGGACATTTGGATTGTTTCCAGTTTGGGGCTGTTGTGAATAAGGTTGCTGTGAGCATTCCTGTACAAGTTTTTTTGTGGACATACTTCTGTTTCTCTTGGGTAAATACCTCACAGTAGGATTTCTGGGTCCTATGGTTAGTATATGTTGATAGCATCTAGTGTTATGGTTTTGTATTTGGTATTTTTGATTTGGGGCGTTCTAACAGGTGTGTTGTAGTGTCTGGTTATGGTTTTGATTTGATTCCCTAGTGACTAATGATGTTTACAAAGTTCCATGAGCCTATGGTCATTCGTGCATCTTCTTTTGTCGCGTCTGTTCTAAAATTTTTGTCCCTTTTCAATTGGGGTTTGGACTTCCTATTGCTGTTATTTAGGAGTTCTTTACATATAATCTGAGTACAAGACCTTTGTTACATATCTGTGCTGCAAATCTTTTTTCAGATTCTGTGGCCTCTCTTCATTTTCTTAATGTCTTTTTTTTGAATAGGCTTTGCTGTTTGTTTGTTTGTTTTGTGTTTTTTGGGTTTTTTTTGTTTTTTAGAAGATGTTGGGGGTAGGAGTTTTAGTAATTTATTTATTTATTTTGGCTGTGTTGGGTCTTGGTTTCTGTGCGCGGCGGGCTTGGGCTTTTCTCTAGTTGCGGCGAGCGGGGGCCACTCTTCATCGCGGTGCGCAGGCCTCTCACTGCCGCGGCCTCTCTTGTTGCGGAGCACAGGCTCCAGACGCGCAGGCTCAGTAGCTGTGGCTCACGGGCCCAGTTGCTCCGCGGCATGTGGGATCCTCCCAGACCAGGGCACGAACCCGTGTCCCCTGCATTAGCAGGCGGATTCTCAACCACTGCGCCACCAGGGAAGACCTAATGCCTTTTTACAAGAGAAATTGTTAACTCTTATGAAATCCGGTTTTTTAGTTTTTTTTTAATGTGTCATCTATGTTTTGTAAAAATTTTTGTAGCTAATTTCTGCCTTCCAAGATGGAAGAAGATGCCAGCCTGTTCCCTAAGAAGCTTTTGGACGACGCCCCCCTTGTGGAGGATGGTAATTAAGGAAGGTCTTTTCACAAATAAGACACGTTTCAACACACAGAAGACAAATGATGTGCTTAATAGTTGCCCTTTAATTTCCTTTTTTCAGAGAGACTACATCTTTTAAACTCATATTTTTTCTCAAAAAGTAGCTTATATTATTCTGTGTTTAATCAGAAGAAAGATCCACGTGGCTGAGACTTTGAAGTTCAGTGGCCGACTGTAGTTTCCCAGTTTTTTGTTATTGCTTAAAATGGCAATGATGAACCTGCTGTATGTAACAGGAAGAGCCTGGTTTAAGAGCAGGCAGCTGGGTTTCACGTCTGCCTTTGACTAGTCTGCTCTGAGATCTTGTTGTGTGGCCTTTAGAAAACTCCGCTCTACGCTCATGAAACAAGGGTGGGAAAGACAATAGTGTTTTGCTATTATTATGAAAATAGTTTTGACTTTGCAGACCCCTTGGAAGGGTTCCCTGGGCCACACTTTGAGATCCACCGCTCTGAGCGGCCATCCCATCGTTGCCCAGTTTGCATGTGTCAGGATTTACCCTGGAACTTCAGGCTTGAAGGTCTCCATCTGCGTTCTGTTGTTGTAACTCTCACTCTATTTCTAGAAACAGATGAACCGGAGGATCCGGAGTTTTTGCTGGGCTCTGTCCCTGGGGAGGCTGAGAACAAGGCAGACCCAGGAAGCTCCTGGTAATTAACCCGGGGCAGGGGGAGGGGGAGGGGCAGGACGCGCTCCCCACGGGATGGCAGCGGGCGTCCTTTCCATGTTAAGTCCAGGGAAA